ATGCAGCCACCTCATTTTCCCCAATGGAACAACCGAGGCACTAAAATAAGGAAGAGCGCGTATTTTAGTTCGCACCACAGCTGTATAGGGAATACGGATAAACACAAGAACCGAATAATATTTTAAAAATTACCACTTCATAATATTCACCAAAACTAATTCTGAGAGTAAGAAGTTAAATGTAAACTGGGCATACTGATGCATGCCTGTAATCCAAGCAGCTGGGAAGGCTGAGGCAGGAGGATCAAGTTCAAAGCCAGCCTCAGCAACTTAGTGAGACGCGGTCTTCAAAATAAAAAAAAAAAAAAAACCAAAAAGGATTAGGGATGTGGCTCAGTGGTTAAGCACCCCTGGGTTCAATACTCAATATTAAAAAAAATAATAAATAAAAAGTTAAATATAAAAGGACAGAAAGGAAACTATTTAAGTATAAGGAAACATTTCTGAATTTAAATGGGAAAGTTAGACTCAGCTTTATAAACTGCAGTGGAAAAGGCAGCACATGGCAAAGTGAGCTGAGTCACCTACTACAAATGTCAGATGTTAAAATCCAGCAAACACAATCAAAAGGAGAGCAAAAAGTAACATACCTGTAATGGATGATATATAGTCTTTGCAAAGGTAAAATATGCTAACAAAAATTCACACAAAAAGTCAATTAGTGGGAAAAACTTTGAAATACACTAGCAAAAACCAAGATTTTTTTTCATCAGATTCACAAAGATGAACACCAGAAAGAGCAAGCCACTGAAGGAAAGAAAGACCACCAAGGCCCAAAACAGCTTTGACTCATGACATGTCAATAAATATCACCTAAGGAAACACCCACAGCCATGCAGGGAAATAACAAGAATGTACTTCAACATGAAACTGAGAACAACCTGAACATCCAAAAGTGGAGGGACGTTCGGGACAAAATACATCAGAGTAAACCCACGTGCTTAAACAGGGGTTTTCCAGGAACACTTAATGATACTGGAAATGCTGGGTATTAAATTGCACATAAATGTGATGTCAATATTATTAGGGAGAGGGAGGGAGGGAAGGAAGAGAAACGGAGAAGGTGCTAAGGAGGGAAGAAGGCCAGGAAGGAAGGAGTGCACAGAAGAAGGAGAGAAGCTAGCTTTGAGATGAGAATGAAAAATAATACATTAAAAAGTTTATGAAGCTGGATGTGGTAATTCCAGTGGCTTGGGAGGCTGAGACAGGAGGATTGCGAGTTCAAAGCCAGCTTCAATAACAGCAAATAAATAAATAAATACAGTTTATGAAGGGGCAGAAAAGAGAATTTACATTTTCCATTAACCTTTATAATCTTGAGATGTTTGATATTTCCTATAAGAAACATTCTTTTTATAATTGGAAAAAGGATATGTAAACTAATGAATATCCTATAAATATTTCTCAGCTCCATAAAGTTGTTAGTTTTTTTTGTGTGTGTGTGTGTGACAAGGTATGCTTATATGATATTTAATATGTAAAATTTACATTTAAAAACATAAGAATATGAATTAAAATATAAACAGTGGTTGCCTTTATGCAGTGCTATTGTGTACATTATTTTTCTATACCTTACAAATTATCTATAATTGTCATGTTGTTTTCATAATAAGAAAAAAACCCCACAAAATCACAATTATAGGACTGCTGAATGAAGAAGTTTTACTACTCATAGTTAAATTTCAAAATACAGAATATCAGTAGACACAAAAATCTGCCCTACTGCCAATAAATTTTTTTTTCTTCAACTTACAGAAACCCATGACACACCTTCAGAAAACAGTAGGAACTGGTGGGTGTGTAGGAGGTGGGAACAAATCATATTTCTTAGCTGTCAAACTGTTTTCTCTATGTAGCAGTTCAGTAAGAGTCTTACTGAAACATGAGAATCTTGATAGTAGAAACATTACAGATGCTCTCCAACTTACGATGATTCAATTTACCATTTTTCAACTTTATGTTAGTGTGAAAACAAAATGCATTCAGTGGAAACCATTCTTCTTGCATTCTGATCTGTTCCCGGGCGCTGGTGAAGCTGGGCACTGCAGCTCCCTGTCAGTCATGTGATTATGGGAGTACCTCTACTCTCCAGTGCACTGTGTTGCTAAGCTACAATGTTATGCAGTTTAGGGGTACTAAATGCATTTTTTACTTACACTACTTTTAGCTTTTGATGGGTGAATCTGGACAGAGCACCAGCATAAACGGAGGAGCATCTGTACTGGGAAAAATGGCCCAAAGGTCACAGGCAAAAAGTAGTAAATGGACAAAAGAGGAAGGCAGGAGTCCATGAAAGCAACAGAAATATCAAGAGATTAAGATGCAAAAGTCATTAGATCCAAAAGAATTTGAAGATTGGAACTCACTTTGTACACCCCCACTCATAGTGATACTACTATTCATGGTATCTAAAATGTAGAGCAACCTGAGCGTTCATCAAACACACAACAGATGCTACAAGGATGAACCTTGAAGACCTTATACTAAGGGAAAGAATCCAGTCACAAAAAGACAAATACTGTGTGATTCTATCACATGTGGTACCCAGTCTAGTCAAATTCATAGAGAAGGAAAGAAGAATGGTGTTTTCTTCTTTCTTCCACAAGGGAATGGAGATTTGTATTTTAATGGATATGGATTTTCAGCTTTGCAAGACGAAAGGAATTCTGGAGATGGACAGTGATGACAGTTGCACAGTAATGCCATTGAACTACACGCTTAAGAATGGTTAAAATGGTAAATTTTATGTTGTGAATTTTACCACTAAAGTTAGAAATAATTTTAAAAGTATATATATATATATTTTACATGAAGAAACACTCTAAAAAGTGTGTGTACACGCATGTGCATGTATTTGTATATGTATGTATATATCTGAAAGAAAGAAATCAGAAGTCAAAGTCTTGCAGGAGGTTCCTGATTTGGCACACATGAAAGTTTGAAGAATATCAATGGCACAGGAATCAAAATAGATATCGTTTCTGATGCTTAAATTTAAAAAATGTAATTATAGAAGTCAGCCCAGAAACACAGATCAAAAGTGAAAATAAGAAGGAACACTGTGTTTAACTTGAGAAGACTATACCATGGTTCTCTGTGGTTTTATGAGACCCTCTCATTTCAGCCAGCTTGAAAAACTCCCGCAACTTGGAAAGAACCTACAAATCCAAGCAACATCATCAGCTAACAGGAAAAAACAGAAGCACGAGGGAAACTCTGAGTGTCCAGAGAATATAACCTACACCCATGGTACACTATTCTCAAAGAATTAAAGGACTTTGGAACTGGACAAAGGTCCTAGGGTAGAGAGGTTTCAGGATCTAACACGCAGAGAGGCTGCTCAAGGTTGCTCAGTAACACAAGACTCAGACACACCCTGGAGGATTAGTCATGTTTTGCTGTTTATCTCTTATGTGGGTAACATTTTAAAGGTAAGAAACATAGAATAATTGGAATGTTCTTGCTACAAGTCACTTGGCTTAGTTGATTTTGTTCAAAAAATGTCTACTGAGTTCACAGGACGTAACTACCCCTCTGAAACTAAGCTAGGTGCTGGATGGTGCCTAAGATACTGCTATTCTCCTGGTAAATGGGCAGCTGCAAGTTAAAAGAGGTACAACGTGCTGTTGCACAAGTAAGAGGGGCTCTAATCTGGTTGACTAGACTGAGGACGGAAACCTGTAAGTGGTAATGTTTCAATAATAAGAGCAGTCAAGGGGCTGGGGCTGCAGCTCAGTGGCAGAGTGCTTGCCTGGCATATGTGAGGCGCTGGTTCGATCCTCAGCACCACATTAAAAATAAATAAATAAATAAAGGCATTCTGTCCATCTACAACTATAAAAAAAAATTTAAAATAATAAGAGCAGTCATTGTCACCAACTGGGATCAGTTTAGAACCTGTTGAATATGAGGTGCCATGCTAGGTATCATAATGGCATCTAAAAAGAAGCATGGAGCTTAGAATGGACAGAGAGAACCTGCAAAGAGCAATGGGCAGAAAAAGCCAGAGCAGTGGGACAGGGTCATGGAAGACCAGGAGAATGTATCAAACACTGATTATTACAAAGAGGTCATGGAAGATAAGGACCCTAATCTATCTAACAATCTGACAACAGGAAGCACTTTAGGGAGCTTAGCAGGTTGGCTAGAGCAGGATCCATTTGGTCACAAGTGTAGAAGCCAGAGGAAAACAGCCTGAATGTTGGGCAAAAGCACAGAAATGGAGATAGCAAGAGAGACGGTTCTGGGCAGGGGTTGTGGCTCAGAGGTAGAGTGCTTGCCTGGCATGTCTGGGGACCTAGGTTTAATCCTCAGCACCACATGAAAATAAGTAAATAAAATAAAGGTATTCTGTCCATCTACAACTAAGAAATAAAATTAAAAAAAAAAAAAAAGAGATGGTTCTTCCCAAAGTGGAGGCCTGGCAGAAATAAATGGAGAGGTAAATAAAAAGGAGGGTGATAATGACAGGTTAAAATTTTTAAAAATGGAGAAGATTGGAGGTTGTTTCAGTGCTCAAAGGAAAAAGTCAATGGGGATGACTGGGGTACAGTCAGAGAGGAAAACCTCTGAGAAGGTGAGATTGGAAGCAGATGGGGCCCAGAGCCTTGAGATGAGGAAGAACACTCGTCCCACCCCCCGGCCAACACACACGCAAACACAAGAGCAGGCAAGGAAAAACAGGCAGCTGCAGACAAACCATGCCGAGTTGAAGAACCTGAGCGGGTTCATCCTCTGGATCCTCTTTTCTCTGAGGCACAGGAGGAATCGCCCACCGAAAATGAGTGTCAAAGAATGGATCACATGAGTGGAACTGCTACTAGATGAGAGAGGGCCAGCTGGCACTGATCAGCCTCCACAGACAAGAAGTTACCGTGATGAATAGGTTTCTCCCACATGTCAAATCACAAGTGCCACATCCCATCCTCCATGTGTCTGTGTGGGGTTTACCAAACGCTAAGAAAATAAAGAAAAACTCACCTGCGCTGAGCAGGCCTCATGAGAAGTCTCCTCTTCAGTACAGTAAGATCTGGCAAGCCGGCTGTCATCAGGAAATCCATTTTCCTCAGCCTCTCACCTCCTACACAGAACAAAGACAAGGTGTCCAGTGCCGGTGTGCAGAAAGACAACAGTCTGCAGTCAAGCTGGTGTGTATGGGCAACCAAGGCTGCATGATTTCATGGTCCATGCTCGCTGGAACTTCTGGTTTGATCTGAGTTGGGTTTTTGTTTCTGGGGTCATCAACCCTGATACATGTGAAGGCGTAACTACTATGAAGGCCAGACTCGTCCCCCTGCCAGGGCGGTGCAGAGGTGTCAAATGGGGAAAGGCCTGTCCTGGCCATGGCCACTTCTCTCAGGCACGGCTCTTATTCCTGTTCCTGCCAGGAAATGCTCGAGAGAGCAGAATTGAGGCCAGGAGCTGAGCACAATGATGCAAGTCCAAACACAGGCTAGGGAAGGCAGCATTTCAAGTGAGTGGATGTTGTATTTTTCCTGAGTGTGGAAAGGCGTGAAATACATCTTTCTTTATAAAATCCTTCTGTAGAGACAGAATTCCTGTAATTAACATAAATCACTCCTGGTATTTTCAAGACATACATCTCCCAAAGAACTCAACAGAAAACCATTTAATTCTATATCCTTTTGGGTGAGAATGATAATACAACGGTAAAACCAGATCAGTTCAGCCAACTGTGGAGCGCTGCCACAAACAGTGAGATCTCTGAATTGTAGTGTGATTCTTTGGCTTTTCATGAACCCTTTTTAAAAGTTTCATTTTCCTGTGTTCTTTTATTATAAAAGTGGGATAGTGTTACCAGCCAACAGGTACATGTGCAGTGAAGCAGGCCCGGCTCTCAGTGCTCTGCCTGTTCCAACCCGCCCTGCAGGCAGGTACGCTCCTTCTTCTCCCCACTAACGGAGAAGCACACGGAGGTCATTCCTTTATCTCTGGCCAGCAGCAGAGCACATGTGCCAGCCCAGGCTGTCCAGTCCCAGAGTCTTGTGCTAACCACTTCACCACACCAACATACCACAAAATTACCACTCAAATTCTGAATTTTGGTTGTCAGAAGAGAAAATCATCATTTATCCTACCTCTGTGCTATCATTATATCTTCAACGTCCTCCAAAGGCCCATGTGTTAAAGGCTGGGCTTCCAGGGTGGTGTTATTGGAGGGCAACTGAACCTGCAGGAGGCGGGGCCTTGTGGGAAGTCCTTAAGGGGATGCCCTGAGACAGATTATGGGACTCCAGCCTTTTCCTCTTTCCCTTTACTCCCTAGCTTGTGACATAAGCAGTTTTGTTCTGCCATAGGTTCCCAACATAACATGGTTCTTCATCATGGGCCCAGAAGCAATAAGGCCAACTGATCATTAGTGGGGCCTTCAAAACTGAGAGTAAAAATAAATCTTTTTTCTTTATAATTATCACAAGCATTTGTTACAGTGACAAAAAGTTAACTAACACACTCTTAGAATAATAGTGGTATATTTCTTACTCTCTTAATCCTTTGATTTTCAAATCAAGGCATCTGTTAAAAGAAATAAAATTTTCTTATATTCAAATTAAAAAAACTGTACTATATTTAAGTAAGTAAAACTATACACAAAAACTTTTCCAAGTAGAAATTCTACCCTTAGAAAAGGCTTGTTTAAAGTCGGATCTGCTTTTGTATATAATATGTTATTAAAACAATTTTTTTCCTCACAAGCTTCTTTACATTATGAAAAACGTATTTTCTAAGTGTCCTGGTTTTGTTCTGGTCACATTTACTTAGAATGAATTCAAAATCATTCATTTTTCAAAGCTGCATATACCCAATTTTTCCAATATGAAAAATAAAGTTATAAAAATATTTAGTTTTCCTTGAAGTTGCCTGCAACCTCAGGCTGGACCTTAGTTTTTATGATATGTTTCTGTGCAGATAAGAACAACATCATATCTAACATGGGAATGCTGGAACTTCTGGGGGCCTCAGCATGGTTAGCTTCAGAAAACAAGCAAAATAATGTCTTCCGCCACACCCAGCTTCTGTCAGTAACCTGAGACACAAATATTCCATGATACACAAGTAGAAGACTATGCCAGTCACTTGAGGCTTATTAAGGCTGGCCAATGTGAACTGTTATTTCCGAGACTTTCCACATGTACAGACCTGTGATCTATACATTTTTTAGGTTCCTCTGAAATAGACCAATGTACATGGACAACCGATTTTCAACAAAGGTGCCAAAGCAATTCGATGAGGAAAGTGAAGTTCCTTCAACAAATCAACTGAGAAAGTATATGAAAAACAACAACAACAACAACAACAAAAAAAAAAACCCTGACCTCTACCTAACCTCTACCTAACAAATTAACTGGTGACAGATCACTACCAAAACATAAAGGCTAAACTGTAACTATTTTAAGAGAAAGCACAGAATAGCTTCATAAACTTGGAGAAAATATACAATATTTGGTTAACAAAGAATACTCAAAAGAAAATTTAAAAATTTTTAATTAAGTTACTATGATAGTAACTCAAACCTGTTCACCAAAAAAGTCACTTAAAGAAATAAAAGGTAGGCTTCAGACTGGGAAAATATATTTGCATGAAGATTTCTGACAAAATAATTTTATCCATAATACGTACACAAAGACTCCTACCAATCAATAAGATCTTTTTTTTTGGTGGCACTGAGGCTTGAACCTAAGGCCTCATGCATGCTAGGCAAACACTTTACCAGTAAGCTACATCCTCAGCCCTAATTAGAATTAAGAAGAAAACAATGCAATTTGAATGTAGACAAAAAAAAAAAAAAACAAGCAAAAGATTTAAATAGACACATCAAAAAATATATGTAAATATGGTCAATGACTACATGCTATTAAGCAAATGCAAACTAAAAAAAAAAAAAAAACACAGAATGGAGATGCTATTGCATTTCTAGTGGAATGACCTAAATTAGAAAAACCATTATGCAAATGCTTACAAAAACTGAAGCACCTAGAACCCACATGCATAGCTTCTTACTCATTGCTTATTGCATGTAAAATGGTACAATTGCTTTGGGAAATGACTTGAAGATTTCTTATAAAGGTAAACATACAATTACTATTAGCAATTAAACCTAACCTAAATCTAAAAAGGAATGTGGGTAAAGAGAACTTGTTGATAGCAGCTTAATGTTTATAATAGCCAAGAAATTTTAAAAAAAAATCTGAATGCTGGTCAACAAGAGAAAGGATTAACAAATTAGATCTATCAACTCAGAGGAATATTTGGCAATAAAGGAAGAATGAACTGACCTTAAAGGTGATACTGGCCCCTACCTCTCTCTACCCTGAGGTGATAAGCTTTCTCTATCATGCACTTCTAACCATGACATGCTGCTTTTCCATAGGCCCAAAAAGCCAACGTGTCAACATATCTCTAAGATTGATGAGTCACAATAAACCTCTCATCCTTATAAGTTGACTCTCTCAAATATTTTGTCACAGTAACTGAAAGCTAATACACCTGGCTAAAAAATATTTCAGATTTAATTGCTTTGATATACTTCTAATAAATCAACTAGTCAAAGAACTTCTCATTTCAAGATGGTGATCAGGGCATATGGAAGACTCCATTACAGTTGTAAAAAGATATATCAATCCACCACAATAAAAAAAAAAATATCAGGGGCAAAGGAGCTTTCCATAAATATCTGGATATCGGAAAGATGAGGGAGGAGCACTGCCTGATGAGATAAGCAGAGGCAGTTCACACTGGTGGGCTTTCCCAGATGTACTGCTGCTGTGGAGGCAGACCAGTGACTGTATTCAGGAGAATCCCAATGAGGTTCAAAGAAAACAAATACAATACAGGACAGAAGAGACAAGCAGGATAGAAAGGAGATTAATTGAAAATATATAAGCCATTATTCCTTCCATGCCCATTTCCTGTGCTTATAAGAAAAGACTAAGGTTTACATGTCTCCAGGCAAAAAATAAAAATAAAAAAAGGCAGATGATTCTCTAAGGAAGCTAGATAAATGTCTGGTGAGGACTGAACAGTGAGTGTGGTTATGAGAGCCCCCAAATCAAGCTCTCTTCACTCTGACAACTGCTAAGTGCCAGGCCTCTGGAGGCCTCATACCACCCAGGGTAAAGCCTGCTCAGGACAAGAGGCACCCCAGACACACAGATTCAAGTCAGCCACAACACCACTTCATTTTAAATGTGAATGAACAACCAAAGAGAAATATAGATTTAGAAAGCCTGTGATATGGAAGAGAAAACTCAAATAAACACAAAAAGACCTTGGAAGACATAGAAAATTCAAGGGAGCAATTTTTTTTTTTTTTAAACTCAAGCAACTTTTAGGATTTGCCTAGCATGCACAAGGCCCTGGGTCCAATCCCTAGCACTGCAAAACAAAACAACAAACCAACAACAAACAAAAACTTTTATTAGTAACCTTAAAAACATCTAAGAGGCAATTATTACATCCACTCAACAATGACGACAACAGAAACAATTAAAGAAAAAGACCTATGAAAGAGCTATGAAATTAGAAATAAGAGCCCCCCAAAAACAAGCACTTAGGGAGCCCTCTGTGCATGTGCTTGGGTTCCCTAATCTCACAGCTATAATTCTGATTAATAATTCTACCTGACAGACAGTTCCTTACCTAAGATGTACTGTTCTATACCACTGTCAGAAATCTGAAATGGCACGTGCAGAATGTGTCTGTGGCAAGAGCAGTGGCACAATGCCCCACTGCTAAGAAAACCAGAGTCTATTTTTACCTTTTCTGCTAGCTTACAGCATGCCATGTAAAATTCCCCTAACACCCGTTTTCACCTTGCCTTTAGAGAGAAGGTAACTAAAGGTCATGTTTTCAAAGTGATACATGAAGACTCCCATAAAGAAGAAGTAATGGGCAAAGTCTAAAACAGCTTAAGGGGAAGACTTCCAAATGCTAACCCATATCAGTGGGCTAGTAATGGACATTTGTGAAATCTTCCCTGCAGAGTTTCACGAAGAAGATAAATATTCCTTCCATCTGGATGGTTTGCATACTGTCCTTCTTCAAGTAGAGAGAGGGACTGGA